TAATATAATAAATATATAATATAATATAATAAACCATTTTTTGATATTCTACCGCACATAAGATTTTAAATCGTATATTTTTTCTTTTTTGTTTCAGAAAGCACACATTCCGCAATCAATAATGGATGTTATACAGGGTAAAGTGCCCTGTGATATGCTCGATGAGTTTGATATTGTGAGTAAAGATGCCTGTATATAAAGGAACGATATTTTGAGCCCTATATCTTTATAATATAATTCTTTAAAATAAATACGCGGTATTTTCTCGAAAAAATATCTCTTCCATCAATTTCTTTCAGGCACCACGTGGTGATTATTCGAATGATCAAAAACCAGATACAATGGAAATTGATCTTTCGGAACCAGCCCCTCCCGGTTTAGATTAGCATAAAGTCATTCCAGTGTTAGAACTAAAAACATCGTTTATCGAGTATTTTAACATTGATAAATTTGCTTTGTAAATGTACAGTATTTTTTTTTGCATCGCTATATTGCGACATTTAGTTATATATTTTGTTGGTAATAGTTTATATTTATATCTTCATTTGACGCTAAGTATTTTAATTGGCTAATATTTAGCGTTAAATGTGTAAGTCAAAAAATTACAGATGATTTAATTCAACGAAATCTAAACAATTGAGATTTTTGATATAGATTTTGACATAATTTTCTTTAATTAGTTTAACATTATATATTATCATTAGTTTTATAAATCTATTTTATTTTTGGATCTTCAATATAATCTAAATACATTTTTCGGTATCTAATATAGCAGAATATGTAGATGCTGTTTGACTTTTCTCTCGTATTTAATTAATATTTATAATAATATTAAAATATACATATACTATCGTTAATTTAATATTAAAAATATTTCAAACAATTTTATATGAATAACAATTTTCTTAATTTTGATTAGATTATAATTTTTATTTATATATATCTATATAAAGAAATAAATTGTAGAATATCAATCATGTAAATCAGCTAAAATACAATTTAATTTATCTGTTAAATTTATTTCATATAAAATACATAAAATTTTAGAAAAAAGAAAATAGATACATCCTCAATTGTTTGGCTTAGCAGAAAATATTTCCTTTTATATTTAATGTGTCTCTTAAATTTTATATACAAATGCGCTCGTGAACGATTATTTCGGTCTATATTTCTTTCTTGCCTGCTCAAGTGTTATAAATTAAACAGTTTTATGATACGTATCTATTTAAAAATTGCGTTGAGTATTACTCAGAAATATAATTTTTAATCATTAATTGCGATAAAAGAATAAGTACATTATTTTTACAATTGAATTCATTATGTATAAAGACTAAATTAGAAATCAGTCTTAATGTTACATATATGTATTAGTGTTGATGCATAAAGATTAAATTACAAATTAGTTTCAACATTACATATATGTCATACATGTTAAAAGTTAAAATAATTATGCTTAAGTTTAAAAATTATAATGTGTATAAAACAGAATCGAGTGCACTTAACTTATACTACGTCATACTATCATATGAAAGTAATAAACAATTTTTTTCATAAACGTATATAATCTGCAATGTATAAAAAATAATAAAATATTTTTTGTTACATAAATTCTTACTCTCTTTGTTGCATTCTTTCTCTTAAAAAGTAAGTAAAATATACATTTATAAAAAACAATTTTATAAATATAAAAAATATTAGAAAATATATTTTGCTGAGAAATTATGCAGCAAGACTTTTAAGATTGATAATTCATTAAAAAGATAAACCA